AACAACAAAAAAAAAAAAAAAAAAAAAAAAAAAAAAAAAAAAAACAAAAAAACCCCAACCAAAAGCTCAGTTAGAGGCATAAACAAATGACAGACTGGCTGAGAGGGTCACCACTGGCAACACTCACCACACTCAACAGTGCTAGGCAGGGTGCTGGTGCAGAGAGTCGAAGGACCTGTGAGCTTTGCCCTAGAGCTTAAAACCAGGAAAAGAGACAGAGAAGGTGATGGATTGATACACAGAGCTACAAGCCAGGGGCTCCTACCCACCAGCACGCTCCCCCCTCCCCCAGTACACGCAGAGCCCCCAGCTGCTGGGCGCTGGCTCTCCACTCCGTCTTGCATGCCTTCCCACACCTCCCTCACCCTCCTGCTTTGCCCAGCTGTTTGATTCATTTCTTGGATTTCAGCTGAGACAGCATTCTTCCAGGAAAATCCCGCTGACCACCCAATCTGGGAAGGGGACCTCTTCCCTGCTCCCATGACTCCCCTAAACCCACCACTTCCCTTATTGTGGCTTTTTTTTTTCATAATTCAGAGTGAATTTCCTGTTTGTCTCTTCTCAGCACCACCCGGATAGAGGCCCTGTTTGCTGTGCCCGTGGCGTTTACAGGTATGTCTTAATAAAATAAACATAACAGTTGCAGAAGGCTACTCTTTTATCTCTTTATCTGTTTAGAGTGTGCATGTGTTGGTAGATGGGTGTGTGAGCGTGTGGGTGCCACAGTGCACGCATGCCACAGTACGTGCGCAGAGGCCAGAAGACAACCCTCAGAGGTCAGCTTCCACCTCCAGTGTGTGGCTCCTGGAAGCCGGTCAGGTTGAGCTTTGCAGCAGGCACCCTTGCCACTCAGCTGTCTTGACAGTACCCTTTTTCTTTAGGTCATCTGATTTGCCAGGTACTAGCCTAAGATTAAATAATTCATTTGATCCTCATAGCTATCCAGTGACCTGGTGCTGCTATTCCTCCCTGCCCCCATTTACCAGATGTAGAAACAGAGCCACAGGAAAGTTCGGTAAGTTGCCCAAGGACATACAGGTAATAAGTGGCAGAGTGGGATTCAAACCCAAGTGCCCATTGGAAGAGGAGGTGGTAAACTCTGTGAGAAGTCAGAGGTTAGGAACAGTACCTTCAGCGGGTTTTGAGGACTGAATAGGAGTTTTCTGCATGGAAAAGAAGGAGCAGGGATGAATAACCTTGGCAATCTTCAATCTTAGTTCACCTGCCATTGCCACAGCCTTCCGGCAGGGCGAATGAGAAGCAGCTGGCCACACCTCAGACACTGGCAACCCAGACTCAGACAGGGCAAATGCCTCAGGGCAAAATGAATACCTGGTCCAGTTTCAGCCTGAGTCACCCATGAGCAGGGCAGAACAGGGCTGCGTGCTCATCGTTAGGTGAGAAGTGTAGCATCCTCTGGCCCTAAGCGGCAGGCTTACTCAAAGGTGAACCTCCCTTCTCCAGGCCATTCCTCCCTCTCCCAGGGGCGCCGTCAGACAGGTGTGGGTCCACAGCTGACCTGGAGCCCCCGGGGAACACCAGTGATGTGATCACAGGGGGCCTCTATGCCCTGTATACATCAGACAGGGATGAGGGGTCACCCACTACCTTTACCTTCCTGGGGCTCTGACACGGATACAGCTCAACCTCCCTGGCTTACGACAGGAAAGGACAAGACTTTGAGAAAGAACAGCATCTTCTAAGAACCAGCAAGCCCGGACAGCACCTGGGTGGAGTTCTCTGAAGTGAGCCCAGTCTGGCCATAGCATAGTTCTTTCAAGTGGCCCAGCGGCAGCAATCCCTGTCTCCTCTGTCTGAGCATTGAGTGGGCAATCCCCAAACTCCCTCTTCCCTCTGGAAACTTCCTTTGTTTGCTGTTTAGTGATACTTACTAAGGATTGAACTCAGGGCCTCAGACATACTAGACAGACCTTTGCCCAGTGAGCTCTAATCTCAATCAATCTCTCTCTCTCTCTCTCTCTCTCTCTCTCTCTCTCTCTCTCTCTCTTTCTCTGACACACACCACACACAGACCCACACACACATACATTCATACACACACACACACACACAGGTCTCACGTAGCACAGTCTGATCTCCAACTCACTGTGCAGATGAGAATAACCTCAGACTCTTAATACTCCAGCCTCTATCTGCAAAGTACCAGGAATTCCAGGGATTTGCACCACACCAGGCTCTCTGGGATCCATTTTTTTTTCCTCCCCAAATTTTGTTCTGAGAGAGGCTCTCTCTAAGTTGCTTGGCTGGCCTTAAACTCCTTATGCAACACAGCTGGGCCTTGAACTTGCAACCTTCCTGCCCTACTCTGCTGAGTAGCTGGGATGACAGTCATACACCTCAGAAAATCTTTACCAAGCTCTTTCCGACTCGGAGGCACAGAGCCAGACCCCTGACCTCAGAGAATGATAAACGGATGTAGAACACACGTACAGTCACAGACATTGACAGTGTCCTCCGTCATAGCCACAGGCGGAGACCACATCCGTCTTGTTTATCCCTTAGGAAGCGCTCAGTAAATTCACATGGAGCACCAAGGAAGGACTGACAGAAAGACGGTATACAGAAAGGCAGGGAGCTGCAGATGCTGTAGGGCCCTCCCTTACCCTCCCCTTCTCCCAGAACAAAGCACCCCTCTCGGAAGAAGCCTGGGGAACCAGGACACAGCTCTTGTCCCTACCAACACTCCCAGCTCTGTTCAGAATAAGCAAGCTAGCAGGGATGGGGTGGGTGCTACCCCGTGAGACACGGGTCATCTCAGTTTACATTGAAATGCAGTAAAATTAGAAGTGACGCCAGTTTTAGTGTGATCGGACACATTTCAAGTGTTCAGAAGTCACTAGTGAGGCTCCAGAAACCTCACAGATGGCTGAGTGTTTGCATCTGGACAGTGCAGCCATGCTACACACACAGCAACAGCCAGATGTTGAATCCAGGACCAACAGTATTCTCTATTTCCAAAAGCCTGTGAGGAATGGCCAGACAGCAGGAGTGGCATAGTCCTTGTGATGGTTACTTGAAACTGTCAATTTGACACACTCTAGATAGAATAAACCCGGCTAGCTCAGGTTGACCTGTGGGCACGTCGGATTATATTCATCAGTGTGGCAAGACCCAACATAAAAGTAGGCTGTACTATCCCCTGGGGCTGGGCCCTGAACTGACTGAAAAGGAGACTGTGGGCTGAGAACCAGCAAGCACTTACCTATTACCCATTCATTCCTCTCTGCTCTTGACTAGACAGGATGCAACCAGTTGCTTCAAAGCTCCAGCTGCCTTGACTTCCCGACAGTGATGAACTGGAACCTGGAATTGTGAGACAGATAAACTCTTCCTTCCTGAAGCTGCTTTTGTTTTGTTTTGAGGCAGGTTCTCACTACATCACCGTAGATAGCCTAGAACAACTATGTAGACCAGGCTGGCCTTGGTCTCAGGGATCTACCTGCCTCTGTCTCCTAGAGTTCTGGGGGCAAGGGAGTTCAACACTATGCTCAACTCCAATATGATAGTCTTCATTGGGCTCTGGGTTTAAGGGGGCTGTGAAGTAGGGATGGTACATGTTTTTAATCCTAGCACTCAGGAAGCAGAGACAGTCAGATTTCTGAGTTCAAAATCAGCCTGACCTATAGATTGAGTTTCAAGACAGCCAGGACTCCACAGAAACCCCGTCTTGGGGGGAAAAAAGAGGTGGGGGATAAGAAATGTTCTTCCATGCTGGGCAGTGGTGGCGCACGCCTTTAATCCCAGTACTTGGGAGGCAGAGGCAGGCGGATTTATGAGTTCGAGGCCAGCCTGGTCTATAGAGTGAGCTCCAGGACAGCCAGAGCTACACAGAGAAACCCGGTCTCGAAAAACCAAAAAAAAAAAAAAAAAAAGAAAAAAGAAATGTTCTTCCTAGTGAGGAAAGTGGGAGGAAGAAACCATCATGGGGACCTCGATACAGACTTTGTGTTGGGTAGTCATCCATTGGCTATGGAGTAGCCTGTCCTTGCTTTTTTGGAAACTTAGGGTAAAGAAGTTATCTACCCCAAGTATGTCTACCACCAACTCTTTGAAATAAATAAATGAATAAATGAATAAATGTGTGTTTGTGTGTATGAGTTAAGTGTAGTGACACACACACTTTTAATCCCAACACTCGGGAGGCAGAAGCAGGCGGTCTCTGTGAGTTTGAGGCCAGCCTGGTCTACAGAGTGAGTTCCAGGACAGCCAGGACTATACAGAGAAACCCTGTCTCCAAACCAAGAATAACAACAATGAAAGTAAATGTGTGTGAACACTGAGAGAGAGAAAGGAGGGCAGCGTAAGGCTGGATGGTCACCGCTGTGCAGAGGTGAAAGTCACGAGTGCCCGCTGTGCAGCTTCGGTGACTTCTCTCGAGTACTGAGTTTTTAAAGACAAAACCTTGAAAGGAAATCAAGTCATGGTAGTATGACTTCCTTGCCAAACAGGGTCTCCCGGCACGGTATGACATCTGTCGCTGTTGTTGTCATTATTTTGCCGCCACTGCCACCCCCACCCCCGACCATTGTCACCATCATCATTGTCATCATCATCATCATCGTCAATTATTTCGCCACTACTGGAGACTGAATCTTCAACCTCAGGAATGTTGATCAGTTGCTCTACTACTGAGCTACAACTCCCAGCAGAAGGTCCTGTTTCTTGCTGTCGGATTTCCACAGGTTAGTTACCTGAGGAAGGTTGTGGGCTGGTAGACTGTTACTTACCTTATTATCCCCATCCTGCCCAATTCCCACCTCTGTGTTCAGGGTGAGAACCTGATGCCAACCTCGGACTTGTGAATGTGACCACATTTGGCAAAAGAGATCCTTCGGGGTGAGATTATCCTTGATCAGGCTGAACCCTAAATCAGGGACTGACTGATTATGTAAGTTTTACCTGCAGGCCATCTTGCCAGCTGCAGGGCCCATCCCTGAAAGCCACTGAGTTTATGGTGCTTAGTCAGCTACAGCAGCACCAGGAAGTTACCACAGGTATGTTCAATTCATGAATGCTCACTGAGCTCAGGGCCTACAGTGAGGAGGCTTGTGCACCTTTCTCCATAAATGAGCCTAAAAAAAACCAAAAACAATACAGTAACCAGAATGACCTTCTGCTAGTAACATGTCTTAGTCAGTGTTCTATTGCTATGAAGAGACACAGTGACCACGGCGACTCTTAGAAAGCATTTAATTGCAGCTTAAGTTTCAGAGATTTAGTCCATTACTGTCACGGCGGGGAGCATGGCAGCGCACAGACAAGCATGGTGCTGGAGGACACAGCTGAGTTTTACATCCAGATCCACAGTCAGCAGAAAGAAATTGAGATCCTGGACTTGGTGTGCGCTTTTAAAACCTCAAAGCCCGTTCCTGGTAACATACTTCCTTTCAAATAGTGCCACTTCCTGGGGGCCGAGCATTCAATTCTACAAGCCTATGGGGGCCATTCTCTTTCAAACCAGCACGTAATATTATTTACACTTTTTCCAGAGTGAGTGTAGTAGATCTCTCTAAGTGCAGAATAAAGGTGTGCCCTCAAAAGGGAATTCAGCGCTGTTACTTTCCCCATTTGTTGCTAAGAACCCACAATAGTTTCTCGGCACAGAGAAGCATCTTTCTCAAGCTCCAGGTAGACAGCTGAAAGACACAACCTCCCGTCAGTCACCAGGACAGGATGCCAAGTCGAGAAGCAGGCCGACTGCGCCTGGGAGTTTGGTGTTTGCTGAAGGCAGAGGGGACTACACATGACTGTGGTAGACCAGCTGGTCAGTCACTTGGAAAAATTAAGCTACACCTTCCTTGTTCCGGTTACCGCCACGAGAAGCCTTATTTTGGGGAAAGTCCTCTAGACTTTCTTTCTAGACTTGTTTTTCTTTTATAATCTTGAGGTAGGAACTGCTTTTAAGGCCCATTTACTGCATCCTCACGGTCTCTGGGCTTTGTGCAAGGGCTGCGGGTGGGGCCCCGGGCCCCCAGGGCTCACTACTGTTCTAGGAGCACTGACCTAGAATACAGACTTTCCATTTTTAAGACTGCATTGAGTAACCAGGCTTGGTGGCTAGCACCAGCATTCCCAGCCCTCAGCAAACTGGGGAAAGAAGATTGCTACGGATTCCCAAGCAGCCTGGGCTACATCATAAAGGCCGGTCTCAAAACTTCGCTTTGGCCGTTAAAAAATGATTTTAAGATCCTTTGCTCTTTAATCATCTGTGGCTGGGCAGAACACTCAAATGTACAATATAAAACCCCAAATCACTAAGAGCCTAACAAATGGCTCAAAACCAAAGCAGGAACCAGTGGTCTAGGGCTACAAACCTATAATCCCTGAAGTGGGGGTGGGGTGTGTGGAATAGGGGAAGTAGGATCAAGAGTTAGAGGCCAGGGGCTGGAGCAATGGCTCAGCGGTTAAGAGCACTGACTGCTCTTCCTAGAGGTCCTGAGTTCAATTCCCAGCAACCACATGGTGGCTGACAACCATCTGTAATGGATTTGATGACCTCTTCTGGTGTGTCTGAAGACAGCTACAGTGTCTCATATAAATAAAAAAATAAGTAAATAATTAAAAAAAAAGAGTTAGAGGCCAGCCTAGGCTACACAGTGAAACCCTGTGTCAAAAACCCCCCAAAACAAAAACATAAAACAAATAAGAGCTGAGTAGAGTTCAGTCATAATGGCCTTGCCTCGTGCTGCAAAGGCCCTGACTGGATTTAATCCCCATCAATAGTTCATGCCCCACTGACATAGAACCTTCCAGAAGAAGGGTACTGTTGTTTGATGAATATGAGCTTTATGGGTTTTTTTTTTAAGATTTATTTATTTATTTTATATATATATATGAGTACAGTGTAGCTGTCTTCAGACACACCAGAAGAGGGCATCGGATCCCATTACAGATGATTGTGAGCCACCATGTGGTTGCTGGGAATTGAACTCAGGACCTCTAGGAAAAGCAGTCAGTGCTCTTAACCACTGAGCCATCTCTCCAGTCCCCTCACTTTATGTTTTTGTTTTGTTTTAGGTTGTGTGCGTATATGTGTGCACGTGTGCCGGTGTTCGTGTGCAGAAGTCAGAAGACAGAATCAGGTGTCCTCCATCACTCTGCCTGTTCCTTTGAGGCAGCTTCCCCTAAGTTTAGCCGGATCTTGAGTTTTCTTTTCTAGAATAGAAACCAGAAAGCACCAGCGATCCTTTTGTGCCTGGAAGTCACAAATGAAAGACAACCGTGCACTTCTCTGTTGACTCATCCTCTCTCCCCATCCAAGGTGCTTACACCTTGCGCGTGTTTTAATTGCCCTGCTGTGCTGTATGGCATCAGACAGCACATTGTTCAGGACTCACTAGCCCTTATGCAAACAGCAATGCTTTGCACTGGAGCTCAGATCCTGGTAGGTTCAACCTTGGACCTCAACCTTTAATGGAGTCACTCCCTGGCTCTCTGCCATCTCTGCCCTCTCCATGGCTGAGACATGTCCCAAGCTGAAGACTCAGACTCCCCACCTCCCATTCACCGTCCTTGGAACTCCAGAAGGCCCAGCCTAACAGCCTCAGGTCTGACTCTAGCATCCCACAGGATCCTTGCCTGGGTCCACCCCCTTGAGAGTGAAGGATGACTCTCCTCCACTGGCAGGAAGCAGAAGACAGAGATGAAGCCATCTGGTGTTCACACATTGGAGGGGTTGGAGTGTTGTTTTACAACCTTTCCTCCTCCTCTCCTCTCCTCTCTGTGCACGTGCCGGCTGCTTTTATGTCAACTTAACACAAGCTAGAGTCATCAGAGAGGAGGGATCCTTAATTGAGAAAAAAACGACTCTGTAAGATTGGCTGTAGGTGAGCCTGTAGGGCATTTTCTTAATTAGCGATTGATGGGGGAAGGCCCAGCCTATTCTGAATGGTGGGGGGATATCCCTGGGCTGCTGGTCCTGGATTTCTACAGGAAAGCAGGCTGAGCAAGCCAGTGAGCAGCACTCCGTAGCCTCTGCATCAGTTCCTGCCTCTAGGCTCCAGCCCTGATTGAGTTCCTGTCCTGACTTCCTTTACTGATAAACAGTGCTGTGGAAGTCTAAGCTGAATAAACCCTTTCGTCCCCGAGTCCTTTGATCATGGCTTTTCACCTTAGCATCTGCAACACTAAGGCTCACAGCTTGCTGTCCCAAGCTCGAAATGACATTCTTTTTTATTATTATTTGATTTTTATTTATTTATTTATTTTTAATATTACCATTTTGAGTGCCGTGTTTATATCTTTTGATGTTCATTCCCTTGCAATATCTCATTGAAATCTTGGAGTTTCCGGTTCCCAGTCCATATCCAAAAAGTCTCATAACCACACAGAGGGCCTAGAAGGTGGGTGCCAGGCAACCTGACAGACCTCAGGGGAACACAGGGTACTGCTCTACATGGCAGGGGAGTAGAGACTGAAGAAAAATACATCAAGATTGACAAAGTTCTGGTGAGATGGCTCAGCTGGTAAAGACCTTGACACCAAGCATGGTGGGAGGCGAGAAAGAGAAAGATGGCCTGTGACCTCCACAGCACACAGTGACAAGCACCCCCTATACACACACACACACACACACACACACACACACACACACAATGTGATTGGGGGCTGGGGTGTGCTTTTCAAGACAGGATTTCTCTGTGTAGCTCTGTAGACCAGGTTTGCCTGGAACTCCCAGAGACCTGCTTGCCTCTGCCTCCCAAGTGCTGGGATTAAAGGCATGTACAACTATGCCTGGGAAAAAAAATGTAATTTTTTTTTCTAAATCAACGCATTGAAGAAGCCATTTGGCATAGGAAAAGTGGAAGTCCTTCCTCAACCTGGGCTACATCCAATGAACAGAGTCACAGTCCAACATATGTGACACATTCCTCTCCAGCTCACTAGCTAATCCACTTCCTTTCTCAGGAGCGCCCCTCTTTTTGAAACTGTATTGTTGGGAGCCAACTCTTAGCTGAAAGCAGCTATCATCTTTACAGCCATCTCGAGCCATATACCCTGACAAGAGACTTGTTTTCAACAGCCCTCAACAGCTGAGCACACTCTGATAATCATCTTGTTACACTGTTTAGTGCCCCCAGCTGCAAGGTGCACGTGGTATCCATGGCTACAAGGCACATGATGTGACGTAGTGCCTTCAATTGAGCTTGGCCACAAGGGCAAGTCACGTGGTAAAGGGTATAACCACCCAGGACCTTCCTTTCAATAAAAGAGACTTAAACAGACTCTGTCTTGTATCCATCTTTTGTGTCTCTCGTCCCTCCTCCGTCCCCACTCTCTCTCTCTCTCTCTCTCTCTCTCTCTCTCTCTCTCTCTCTCTCTCT